CTCCTTTTGTATCGAGGAAACTTAACATCTCTGCATTGCCCTCATTCAAAGAGTTTTCAGACTAAGGAGTCGTTATATGAAGTAAAAGGTCTTTTAATTGTTATCACTTTTTTAGGCTTCTAATGCAGTTGGAGACAGTGAATTCTGCTTCATTCAAATCCGTTATATCGTTGAATGGATTTTTGTATTAATCATTAGCTCAGGAGCAGAACAAGTCTACGCAAAATGACTTATGTTCGCTCGATCAGCAGTGCAAACACATGGGATTGAACAAAATGTGGACTCTAAATAGATGTTGGCCTCGTTTAATTCATAATCGAGGCAGCACATTGACAATTCGTTGACTTTCGAACCCCCCTCTACTAATATATCCTTCTCATCACAGTTGATTTTGTAATTTTAATGATTTTAGCTTATGGACGGATTAAAACGGTCCTGTAATTAAATCTATAAATAAATCTATAAATGATGAAAAGCATAACAAAGGAACTGAGATAAATATGCGGTAATTATCACCTAAACATCTAGCCATTACTGTTAATAAGCACTCTATGCTATTAAACGCAGCCGATATTTGCAGAAACAACCGAATCATCCCCATCAAAAATATCAGTATACTCATGATGCAATCGCTTTATTTTATAGTTGTTGTTGTAGAAGAGCTCTTCTTTTATTGTGCGTGATGTACTTGTCATTTCAGAATTTTTTCTTAGTGCTTGATAAAGTATACTTTTCTGTTGCCAAACTTTGCCTGGATCTTTTACTTATAATTTATTCTCCAGAAAAGAAACGTTATGCTCCACTTTCTTTTCCCATTTGTTTAAATAATCATCGCAGTTATTTCTTTAGATAGCTTGTTTTCTTAGTGTTTCTCTTTAAACAGGCATCCATCAGCGCATCCTTTTGCTATTGCTCCTTTTCAGCCTCCCCTATTCTGAATCTATATAATTTTTGTGCATTCACATTGCCTTAGTCGCAACTTCGATTTTACATGCTCCGTGATATTTATTTTCCTTTTTAGGATCGATAGCAACGTGGAAGAGGCTAGTTTAAGCGTCGAAGCAGCGCATATGGAGCTTCTAAAGTATTTTCGGGGAATATCTAAAAATAGGTGGCTGGCTATCAAGGTTTTTGGTGTATTGGTCATATTTTTTATTTTCTTTGTTGTTTTCTTTTTATAATATTCGTGTTAAAGCTGTGATATTTTTTGTTGCATAAAGGTCACAAACTGTGTGAAAAGATCACGTCATTAAACAGTTTTTAAGGTTATAAAAAATTGATGTATTTTATTTTTCTTTATTCCGTTCTATTGATGTAATATGCTTGAGTGGCTCAGCGGTTCAGAGAAAGCTACGATTTGGGGAGGATAAATTCAATATTTAAATTTAATTTATCTTGTATGTGGCACAGTGGTACATCATAGACGAGGTGCCTGGTTTTACTCCCAAGTGACGCATCGGTTTCGATTATTATCTGCCAGTTCTCATGAGTAGGCAATTACGACAGATGGATTACGGGATAATGACACTATGATTGTTTAATCTGGTCATTCCAGACTTACAGAATTTATTACCGTGCTGTTTTGTCCGCTGGATAAGTAAGCAGAATTCACCGTGACCCATAAGCCAGTTAATTGTTCATTAATGCAAGGGTAATCGAGAAATGAGGCCTAGAATGTTTTTTAATTGGTTGTAGATAACGCAGAACAGTTGATCTTTCAGCCGACGGAAATAACAACACTAATGTCGTTTTGGTCATTTTTGTAAGGCTTTCTTCGAGGTGACGCAAATAGTCTTTGGCTTTATTATATAGGTAAAATCTGTAACAGCTACTTGACGCTGAGCTGTAAGCTTCTGAAATAATTTAATTTTCCTTTCTTTACTTTTTAGTATAGACAATTATTTGTTGTCTGTTTCTTTATAGTGTCAGCCATTATCGTTGTCCGAAATTTGTTGTAATCTAGGCCAAGACTTATCTTCTGCAACCCGAAGGGCAGATATAATGATAAGAAGTCCTCACTTTCTGTCGTTGAGAATTGGCAGGTCACCCTGATCTTACATTGTTGAGTTTGTACAAGAGATACAGAATTTGATTAGCGTTCCGTGACGAACCGGCATTACTTATGAGCTGAATTGTCAAGAAAGTTTTAAAAAATGCGCTGACATTTTCTTCAGCGATTTTTCTAGATTTCAGCGCTATGAATGGAACGTTTGATCCTTTCTAATTTACACTGGCATATTGTGCTAATCTATAGACTATTTGATCAGTCAGCGCGAATTGCAGCAGGAGGGCGCACTCGTCAGACAGCTTAACCGTATATCTCCCATGAGTTGGCGTTCTCAACTGGTTCTCGTCATTAAAGCGCAATGAAGTGATTTCCTTGCTCAATGAAATTAGCAGTTAATAAGAGAAACCACGCCCCTCACGGCTTTTGAGTCTAAAATGCAAAGCAAGTAACTAATTCATTTTCCCCTGAATTATCTATATTAATGCATTTTTAAGTTTGAAAACGAATTTGAATCGAAACTTGGAGGCATGGTTCTATTTAACCATCAGCCTTTTGAAACAAATCGAAGCAGACAGCATTCGATAAACCAGAGTATAACCGGCTGTGGTCTGGTTCATGCCACTAGTGTAAGGTATTACTTTAAAGGTCTTCGGAGTTTTCGAAGGTAATGCTTGCCACTCACAGGAATGTAATTTATCCATTGTAAGGAATCAAATACAGAATTGGGCATTGATTAAGCTTTACAGCACAATGCCTAGCATAACCGCTATGACGAATATTTACAAGAAGCTTGATACACAACAAAGTTTCTTTCAGATTGGCAAATGCGGGGTATTTAATGTAATCAGTCCGCGGGCGGTAAGCATATAATAACAGTTCGAATTTCACGGCTTAAGAACCTCGAGCAACCGCAGGAAGACGCATCGGAATTATGTCACGTCACAGGTATTAGTCTTTTAGTAGATGAAGTCATAGAAGCCGTAATAAGCTTGAAAGTTTAAAGCCTGCTGGAATAGATGAAATTCGCCTTTAGATGCTTAAAGATTAAAGCAAGTAAGTCATGTGTCTGTAAAGTTGCAGTTACTGTGGAAAGACACAAATGGAGTGGAAAACGGGAATTCTGGTACCACTGTTCAAGGAGGGACTGTTCCAGTTATCAGGGCATTACACTGTTGAGCCTCCTGGCAAACATCTACTCAAGCAAGCCGCAGAATAGCTGACTCAAGGTAGAAGAAGAGCACAGTGTGGCCCGGTCGAAACACCTCTGACCGTGTATTTGCCCTACGCCAGATTGTTCAGAATCGTGGGAGTTCGCTCTTCCGGTTTGCATGTGCTTTGTGGATCTTGGGAAAGCGTATGACCGGATTCCGCACAAAAAGACTGGCGTGCAGACGTACGGGATCGATAGTCACTTGTTACGAGCCATCCAGTCACTGTATTTTGATGGCAGGTGTGCGTTTGAGTAAACGGCGTTAAGTGATCTCATCGTTGGCACTGGACTCTGCGAAGGTTGCATTCTCTCCCCTCTCCTGTTTGTGTTGTTTATGGATAGGGTAGTCAGGCGCAGCAAAGGGGGATGAGTGTATCAGCATAGATGTCGAGATGAGAAAGTTGCTGCTTGCAGACGGCCGTTTTATTGGCTCTTCTAAAACTGATCTACAGCGCTCTCTGGAAAGGTTCGCAGCTGAGTGCAATGTGGCTGGCATGCCTGTGAACGCATCTGAAGCGAAAAGCCTAATGCTTCTCATTCTTCTTCCGGTTGTTCAATTCAGATAAACGGAGAAACAGTGAAGAAGTTCAAATTCTTCGGGGTCATGTTTACAGGTGATGGAAAATGGAAGAGATCGACTCGAATTGGCCAGGGGCTTTCTGTGTGAATTCGCCAAAATCGTTGTGACTACGACAGAACTAAGTCTGATAACGAAGCTGTGTGTATTCAAATCAGTCTTCCTATCTATACTCACACACGGTAATCAGCCACGATCCATGGCTGTGTAACTTCAGTCCTTGGTAGAAGCAGTTGAAATGGTTTTTCTGAAATGAAGCGCCAGAGTTACATATCTGGACATGGTCCAGAGTTCAGATATCTGATAAAGCCTTGGTGTGCAGCAGCTGCTGACGCATATTAAGAATTCATAGTTGCTGTGGTTTGGAGTTTATTTCGAATGCTTCCAGAAAGGAAAGCGAA